ATGGGAGTGTCAGAGACAGTGCGATTGGCACAGGACAGAGCGGAGTTTAGGGCTGTTGTACATAGGGTTGCTATGAGTCACAGGCGACTCGACGGCACATAACAACAACAAAATCTTATTGTCATTGATTTTGATTATTTCTTCATGTGTCTGTTAGCCATCTGAATATTTTCCTCTGCGAAAAGTCTTTACATGTGTTTTGTCTATTTTGCAATTGTGTCATCAGTCTTTTTCTTATGGAGGCCCTATAGGATTCTTTAAGTTTTTTATATGAAACCCCTTCTGCCAAATGTTTTTTTCCCCCAGTCAGTATGTTTTCTTTTCACTCTGTTGGGAAAACTTTTTGATGTACACAGGCATTTAATCTTTAGAAGGTCTCATTCATCAATTTTATTATCTTCAGATTGAGCATTTCTGGCTGTGTTTGGCAATCTCTTTTTACCATAGACTAGACCGTCTAAGCTTGATCCTTATTTGTCTCTGATGAACTTTACAGTTTGGGACTTTACTCCCAGGTTTCTGATCCACCTTGAGTTGATTTTTTTTTTTGGTATGGTGTGAGATATGGATCCTGTTTCAACTTTCTGTAGGGAGCCGTCCAGAAGAGATCGTCATTTCCCCATTTGGTAGATTTTATTTCCTTGTCGAGTATCAGTTGACCATAGATAGCTGAGTCCATTTCTGGATTCTCAGTTCTGTTTCATTGGTCTATGTGCCTGTCATTGTATCAGTACCATGCTGTTTTAGTTACTATTGCTGTGTAGTAGGTTTGGTTTGGTTTTTTAATTTATTTTTTATTTGAATAAATGTTTACAGAGACTTTGGATTTCCATTTAATCATCGTTGCATTTTTCTCCCTACCCACCCCTCCCCACCCAATTCATGCGTCTCTTTGAAAAGTAAAATTCTTTCATTGTTATACAATCCCTGCTCCCAAGTCCACTCCAAAATGCAGCCTTCATTCTGAACTCCTGTCATGATAATAATACCTAATTGTATATCACTTTTAAACAGTTCTCTCCCTCCCCTGTTTCAATGCTGTATACATTATTTATCCCCTCTTTCTCAGACTTCCTTCAATCCCTATGTCAGTCCCATTTTACAACAGTGGCACGTATAGTAGGTTTTGAGGTCAGGGAGTGCTATACCACCCACTTCATTTTTGTTTTTCAGAAGTGCTTTGCTTATTTGGGGTCTCTTTATTCTCCAAATAAACTTGATAATTTCCCTTTCAATCTCTTTGAGAAATTAATTTGGTATCTGTATTGAGGTTGCATTGAATACATAGATTACTGTTGTTAGAATTGTCATTTTCACAATATTGTCTTCCTATCCATGAGCAGGACACACTTTCCCATTTCTTCAGTTCTTTTATTGTTTCTTGCAGA